GACTGAAGTGCCCGAACGCCGCGCCGAACGCCGCGAACGCCGTCCTTCCTTCGGTTTCCGACCCCCCGCGAGCGGTCACGGGGGCTCTGACCTGGGCTCCGACCGCGCGCCGGGTGCGCTCAGGATCGAGATGCAGGTCACAAGAGCACCAAATCCTCCGTTGCCTCGTGGATTTCCGAGGTGGGGGGCATCACCCACCCCTCAGTCCCGAGATGGTCGGGACATGGGGGGTGAGCCAGGGAGCCGGTGGAAGCCGGTGGAAGACGGACTCCGAAGCGCTCCCCGAAGAGCAGGCGATTTTGCAGGTGGATGGTTTGTGAGTGGCGAAGCCTCCGGGTCTCTTTGCTTGAGCGGGGGTGGTTTGTTAGTGGCTGAACACCGTGCGTCCATGGTCTATTGAATATTGGCGGTTGGAGAAGAAACAAGCAAGTCGTCCGGTGGTTTCATGTTCCAACGACCTAGGACCTAAGGAGGAGGAGCCCTGCCGTGAAAGACAGGTAAAGCTACACTTGTTGCGTGAACTCTCCACCTGGCACGCGTTGGACGAAGGATCAACGCGAACCGAAACAAACCAGGCAAGAACTCGGTGTCTCAATTCGGTGACACCCGAGTCCCCTCGCCCCTGGTGGGGTAGACTGGTCGATTCCCCTTCCCGTTTCCCCACGGCATCCGAACGCGCGGAACGTGTCGGTCGACCGCGACAGTGACTGTAACTCCGCACTCACCGGGCCCGTGGAGAGTGGCGAGAGCTGAGAGCCATGCGCAGTGGCCCAAGCCTGGGCTTGCAAGGGGTTCGACAACAACTCGTCTGGGGGCGGGACCTTTCCCTTCGCCTCGTGTTCTCTCGTATCCCATGGACATCGGGTGCGTGTGTTTACTATTGTTGACTTATTGATTGAGGAAAGACCGATTCGAGCATGGAACATGTTCCACGTTGAACCGGATGACCAGTGACCAAACCTCCTGGACATTCCAACCTGCAGCAAATGTTTGAGGATTTCCGAATATCCAGTTTGCGTGTGAAGAACCCTCGACAAGTATCACAATGGTACAATCACTCATTCGTAGTTGGGTCCAAGGTTTCCAGGGAATTCAGTTTCTCAAGAGGCCCGATTTCTTAGCATATTTTGATGACCAAAGACCCTCAGGTTCAGCAAGTATTTGTGTTCATCCTTTGCAACTCTTGTTTTAATCATGTTCGTTCACCAATGGAAAAACCAAACCTTATACCAACAGCCCTGCCCTGCTCTGTCCCTGCCCTGCCCAATAACCCTGCCAAACTCATCCCCTGCCAGGACCTGAAAGGGGTCACATTCGATGAGTTCCGGGAACAGGCGGATCCAAACGGGGCGCGCCATGTCTTCGACTTGGCTTCAACGAGGTGTCGAAGCCGAGTCGGTGGAAGATCCAAATTGGGTGGGAAAGGACGGTTGAGTCCCCACGTGCAGAAGATCCGAGGGGCCTCCGGCCTTTCCCGGCACCCGGCCGCCCCAAACGGAAGGTAGACGCCGAAAGTGCATCAAGCTTTTCCCAAGCGCAAAGAAGTGGTTTTGTGCTCCATCTCTAGGGGTTATGAATCAAGACTGATCTGCCTCTTCCGTGATCAGCCTCCAGCTTTATGCCTCCAGATCTTGGCGGAAGATTGGGTGGACAAGCAGCTGCTGAGTGTCTGCAGGAGTGAACCGTCGGTCTGTGGATCCTGCAGGTGCAGACGATGGTCGTTGCCTGTCGTTGCAGGCGACGGTCGTTTGATCGCGGAGATCGGGAGATCCTTTTCAAGGGTCGATGTTCGTTGCCAGAGAGGTCTCTGCATACCTTGAGCTACACACCCATGTCTGGCTTGGATCAGACCCATGTCTGGCTCAAAAACTTCGGTAGGCACTTGGTAGATCCTGCATTCTGCCTACGGGTGTGTGGGCTTCACATCACCAAGACCCAAATACGTGATGCTCCCAGGACAAACGCCAGTTCCCGGGCCAGGTAGAACAGTTCCCTCCATTGACCGGATGCTGGGGGCCCCCTTGGCTTACGAGAAACGGTTTCGGGGTGTCATTTTTCATGTCTTCTTAATAGGGCTTGTCCTATGACCTGTTAACAGTCAGTCAAAAGGCTGATCATCATGTCTTGAACTGTCGGCCTGCTGAAGCATCAGCATCCACTGGGCCCTGGGTCCATGTGATAGACCCAAGTCTCTTTGCTATTCGTTGCCTTTAACTGTAGAGGTCGATTGAAACTTTCCTCCAGGTCTTCGATCTTCGCTCGGTCTTTCTCGGAGATGTCTTGGTTTCCTCAGGCTGCTTCGACAGGTTTCCTGGTGGAGTGTAGCGACCCCCCGAGCCGCCCCTTGGAACGCCAAACATCGCAGACTGATCTCAATCCTTTCGGAGGAATGAGCTGATGAAGACCAGTTACATGCACAAGGAGCGTGTAAAACAGATGGAAGACATTGGCGTGAAGGTGGCCCTAGGCGCGGCAGGGGGAAAGGCTTGTGAGTTAGTTGTCTCTTGGGGTGGGTAGGAAAGGCTTCAAGATGAAAGGCAAAGAAAGGCAAAGAAAGGCTGAGTGGTGATGCCATTTGGATCAGCTGTCACCGCTCGGACCACAAGGGACTCATGGGGGGGGAAACGGAAGACCGTGCAGAAGCGAAAACTGCCCTGCAAGACCCACTGGGAGGATAGGTCGCGGACTGAGACTCTGGACAGTGAAGAAATCCAAAAGATGGGTTTTTGGGATCCGATGTTTTTTTTCGGGTTGGGTGTTTCTTCGATGAAAACCAGAAGAGGGGTAAATCCATCTATTTCGGTTTCAGGTCTTGGACGCATGCCTTTGCCAAAGGCTTGCTGATGACGACGCATCGTCCCACAAGCCCTTTTCTCGTGGTGGATTCTCAAGTGAGGGGCAGGAGCACGACTCCTGCCAGAAAAGAGGGCCCCAAGCTGAAAGGAGCACTTTTGAAGCATGGGAATGACTTAGTGTTCACCATGCAATTAGATTATTCAGCATGATAAACAGTACCAGTATTTTCTCTGGAGGACATGGTTGAAGGCAATCATGCTCCCCTTCTTTTGAGCTTCTGCGCTCGCTGGAACTTGGCGCTCGCCTGGTGAGGCGTTCTGTGCAACATTCTGGTGGTCAGCCTCTTCAGTTGGTCCTTCACGGACTTTTCGGCAAGGCGGACGATACGGGGTTTTTCTCGCGTCCCGGGTCGGAGCAGACCGGACCGCGCTGCGTATGTGGGTGGTGTGGTGGTGTGATATGGAGGGGCAGAAAAAAAGGCGTTTCATGTGTGGGGTTGGATGGGCTAGACATGGGCAACACGTCAAATCTACCTCAAGGCAACTCCCAACAATCCCCCATGTCCGGAACCTAGCGATCTCCCGTTTCCACTTGGCGCTTTTCCAACGTAGTGGAGGGTGATAAAAACTTTGGAGACCGGCGATAAAGAGGATCTGATGCTCCATCGATTCAAGATGAGCTTTTTGCATGGTAAAAGATGCTCGCAGGTTCCTGTTGAGTACAAACCGGTCATTTTTCTCCAGACAGACGAATCATATGCCAGTAGAATCGTCCTAGACACGTAGATAGCATTCGATGGAGTTTGGACACTCCAAGCAGTCTGACCAGTTTAAGATCCACAATTGTATGTATTGTCCAGGCAGCAGCAGTTTTTGGACTCCAGATGATCACTGCCCCATGTGCAAGAAAGGACATGATAGGCATTCCACTGCCTAGATTATATACATCCCTGAGATCCTTCCACTTCAACGCGCCAGCGTCGCGTCGCCGCCTGTACCAGCGCGGCCTCGCGGTCGAGCGCAGGCTCTCTCTGTCGATGTTGGATGCCCAGGGGCGACGCTTTCCCGACGTGCTGCTCGTCTGAAGCCGTCGCGGTGGGGAGTTCAGTCCTGTCGGGTGGGCCCCCCGAAAACGGCAACGGGTGGACAGTGGCTACCCATCAAAACGGCAGAAGGGTCAAGCAGGGCTCAAGAGATCTACTGGAACAGAAACATCTGGTGATCTGTTTCAGAAACCGACGATCGGATCTGAAAGAAAAAACGGAGGCGAGCTTTGTGTGTCTTTCCCAAGAGGTCGAGTTGGGGATCGCCAGACGGGGCATCCAGGCTCCACCGGTCGTACCTGTGCGGGAAATCGCTGGCAGGTGAATGTCACTCTAGCGACCAGCGATCTACGGTTCGACCGGCAGCCCACAAAAAACACGAGCCCCAAAGCTAAAGGGTGAGGCTAACCTGAGGTTATCCTGTGACATGGGGAACAGTTGTGTCATGACCCGATCGAAAAGTCCATCCCTCCTTAAGCTGCTTTGAACACCATTTGTATCCATTTCGGTCCACTTGAAATCCGCCCAAAGACCGTCGACGGGGATCTCCACACTCCGCGGCGCTTCATGCTCCAATGCTCGCGCCGAGGCAGACGCTGCCGGAGTCACTGCAAGATTCCGTGCTGCTCTGGAGCCAATCTCTAGACCCACAGAGTCTCCGGGGCAGTCGGGACGCTCAGAGAAGCGGGTTTCGCTTCCGAAGGGCTTTGCGTGCGCACTGCAAAAGCAGCGGAGCTTTGTGTTCTTTTTGGGTGGGGGGCTGGCAGGGGAGTTGGGAATTGTTTTGGTTTGTTTTGGTCAAAACAAGTGAGACAGAACCGCAAGCTTCCCTTTTGTCACTTGTGGGCTAGATATCTGCGTCCTACAGTGCTACAAGCTAAATTCCTCAACGTTGCTGGGGCTGCTGGGTCGGCTGCCACTCCTTAGTTAACCGAAGTTGCACTGCCTTTTAAAGCCCTATGAATCCATCCTTCCTTTTTCGAAGTTCCAAGAACATGCGTGCGGAAAGCGAGGCGGAATGCGGTCGGGGTCAGCGAGCATGCGTGCAGTCGCATGCAGTTGTCAGCAAGCTCTGCTGAGGCCTCATCTTTTTGGACGTAGCGCAGCGATGCTTGGCAGGGTGAGGCTATTTCCAAGAACCTGAGTAACTTCTATTTTGACCAACCACCCCAAAATATGGTCCAAGTTCCGATCAAAACAGAGGGCACTCAGAACTTCTTGGACTCCCTTCTTATGGACGTCTTTCAACCTCAAGACTTGAGATATCTTGAGATCCTTCACTCCACCAAGTTCTTGTTCTCAATAGCTCATGTGGAAAGCTGCAGATTTGGGCTCTCACCAGCGCTTTAAAGCTTCTCGCCACCCCTTGGTCGAATTTCTTTGGGCGATCCAAAGATCGATGGTGCGTGTGATGCGACGGCTGGCACTGGGGCTGGGGCTTGCGCTGGCGGCTGTCCACCCCTTCGACTTCACCATGCCGGCGAAGCGGACTGCAGACGGTGCCGCCGCAGGGCACCCTGCCGCGACGGCGCTGCGTGCGCGGGGCTTTGGAGGCGGAGCTTCTCCGAAGGATGCAGGCCACACGCGGGGACCGTTGCACGGGGGCTGTGGTGGGTGGAAGCGATGTTGCCACGTTGGTGTGTGGCGTTCCAAGACTGTGGACATTCTTGAGGTGGGAAACCAAACAGCCAACATGATCTGGACTGATCCCGGGAGCTGAACCTCCACTGCAGCCACCTCTTACATCTCTGTAGCTGTGTACAACTAGCACTTTGTAATTTTGAACCAGCAAGTCTGTGACTAACCCCTTCTACGCACACTGTGTAGAGTCGCTGCTGGCATGTTGTTAGGAGAACCAGTCTAACAGATTCACCAAATATAATGTAGTATATATAAGATCAGCAATTTTTTTAAATCAGACTCTGGATAAAAATTGACTCTGGGATATTCATAATACATAGCTTCGCCGGACATCCTATTTTTGCTGCTGTTGCTGCTGTTGCTGTGCTTCATTCTACCTCCTCTTCATCAACACAGAGGTCTGCCTGGCATGTTTCTGGAGTTTTTCTTTTAATAGTATTGTGGCAGGTAGTACCAGTAGCCTTATCCTATCTCAAAATATCTCAAAAACTCATGTTTTGATCTCATTTCAAAAACACGCCCCTTCTCATTTGCCATTGGACCGCAGCTTTTAACTCAAATCCTC